CCTGCAGGCATGTGCATTCATAAGCACACAGAGGCTCAGTGCTGGGCTGTGTTATAAACCACACACAAGTCCTCTGCTAGACGGGGAATTAACTTATTTAAAGCAGAAAGTATGAGTAACTCTATTACAGTTACATTTTAAATGGGTGGAAATCGAATTATACTCACATTGGAAGGATGTTTTAGTGATTACTTTGAATTGTAAATGTCATTTATTTTATTTAAAGATGAATGGGAACTGTAATTGGCCATTAATGCATACAGCCTGTTCAATTAGCAACCTGCAGACAAGCTCAGACTCGCCCAAATGGAGGGGAAATGAGAAAGATGTTTCTCATGGAAATGCAAAGATGATGGTACTTGTGAATGTGCTTAAGGATGTAAACTAATCGAAGTGTGCATGCAAGAAGCATGCAAAGATACAGTGCTAATAGTATTACACCCCTTTGTAGATAATGCAATATGTCCATAATTTTACCACACACACACAAAAAAAAAAGGCAAATTTAAGCACTTTCCAGTAGCATTTAGAATAGTTATGGCTGTTGCAAACTGGAAACCATTGATTTCCACAGTATTTGCTGTATTTGTTCCATAGTGTGTTTTCATTCATACATTCCTTTTCTTGTCGGCTTAGTTCCTTTATTAATCTGGGGTCGCCACAGCGGAATGAACCGCCAACTTGTCCAGCAAGTTTTTACGCAGCGGATGCCCTTCCAGCTGCAACCCATCTCTGGGAAACTTACATACACACTCATACACTACGGACAATTTAGCCTACCCAATTCACCTGTACCGCATGTGTTTGGACTGCGGGGGAACCCGGAGCAAACCCAAGTGAAGGCAGGGAGAACATGCAAACTCCACACAGAACTGCCAACTGAGCCGAGGTTCCAACCAGCGACCTTCTTGCTGTGAGGCGACAGCACTACCTACTGCACCACTGCCTCACCTAGTGTGTTTTCCTACTATGAATTTCAATAGTTAGCAGTCCCCAACATTTCAAAAATACTGTATATCTTTCTTTGTGTTCAACAAAACAAAACACCCTAAGTAGATTTGGAACAAGACAAGGAGCAGACCCGGATTAAGAATTCAGAGGCCCCTGGGCACAGTTGTCTTGTAGGCCCCCTACCTACCTAGATTAATATAATATTCATTCATTCATTTTCTTTTTGGCTTAGTCCCTTTATTAATCTGGGGTCACCACAGCGGAATGAACCGCCAACTTATCCAGCATATGTTTTACGTAGCGGATGCCATTCCAGCTGCAACCCATCTCTGGGAAACATCCATACACACTCATTCACACTCATACACTACAGACAGTTTAGCCTACCCAATTCGCCTGTACCGCAAGTGTTTGGACTGTGGGGGAAACCGGAGGACCCAAAGGAAACCCACGCCAACACGGGGAGAACATGCAAACTCCACACAGAAATGCCAATTGACACAGCCGAGGCTCGAACTGAGGCTTCTTGCTGTGAGGCGACAGCACTACCTACTGCGCCACCGCATCACCTATCTTTGATTTTTGTATAATAAATTATTCTCTTTTGGCAGTATTTTGGTTGATGCATGGTTCTTCTTCTCCCATATTACACACAATTGACACAATATAAATGTTACTTACTTCAGTCCCTAGTCTAACATCAAGAAGTCATAACAAGTGTTAATTTAGATCAATTCACTTATGACATGTTTTTTTTGGACTGTGGGAGGAAACTGGAGAACCATGGGAAAATCCACACTAGCAGGGGAGAACATGCGAACTCCACAGAAGCGCCTGCTGGTCTGTTAAGGATTTGAACCAGTGACATTCTTGCAGTGAGGCAACAGTGCTAACCACTGGGCCACCATGCCGCCCTATAGAAAAAGGTGGAGGAGTAAAGAAGAGTAGTAAGAGAGTTCTGTAGTGAGAAACTCTGGTTATTTATAGTGAGTTAGGAATCGTCTGATTGGTGAATCATGCATTAGATAACGTGGGACCAGCTGTGATCAATCATAATCACATACTCCTCCAGTTTATAAATAAACTTCACTTAGTTCATCAATTCCCCTATAGTGCATGGAAACTGGAGCACCCGGAGGAAACCCACTCCAACATATGGAAAACATACAGACTCCACACAGAAACACCAACTGACCCAGCCGGGACTCAAACCAGCAACCTTCTTGCTGTAAAGTGACAGTGCTAACCACTGAACCACCATTTCACCCTTTGTAAATCCCATTAGTCATTTTTCAGTGTATCCTTTAAAGTTCCAACTACCTTTTGTGCAGATAAAATGTCAAAAATATGAGTGAAATAATAAAGAGCAAGCCACCTGCCATGATATTTTAACACAGCTTGACTCTGCAAGTCTCCTCAAACAGCACAACTCAGCTCCGGTGCAGGAACCAATCAGTGGCTTGGATAGTTCCCATGGCAATGAATAATTAAAAGCGAACCCGAGTGAAATAATCCCTGGTTCTGACTCTGACGCCACATTAACCTCTCATGACAGTCATCAGTTATTTCTAAACCATTTACCACTTCTGTTCTGCAGAAACAACCACCGTGCTGTCAAATCTCATCTATTTCATCTCAAAATAAATGAAGTTGATTTAAAGCTTGGAGCTGCTGGTCAATGAGACTGATCCCTCTCTG